CGGGTGAGGGTCAGTCACTGCCTGGGGCCACTCCGTACTTCTCCGTCCTGGGAGAAAGGTGGGGGCTGGGGTGTTCCAGCAGAATGGCAGAGAGGGAGGGCACGCTGGGCGTGAGAGGGAGAGGCCGTCCTCACCGGGAAGCAGCCCAGGTCTGCGGGGCAAATGTTTGGCCCAACGCTAAAGCCTAGAGCGCAGGAGCCCAGCCCCCACCTTGACTGTCCCCGGCAGGGGAACACCGTGGAGCTTCCCGAGGAGGAGAACACCCCCGAGAAGAGGGTGGACCGGATCTTCGCCATGATGGACAAGGTGAGGCCGTGGGGAAGCTGGGCTGACTGGGGACGGGGGTGGACAGCTGGGGGCCAGGCCCTGGGTCCCCACAGGTGCCACTGACCACCTGTGGGCCTGGCTCAGGCTGGCGGCACGGCCTGGGGAGGTGTCCAGTGGTCGGGTGGGCAGCCATCCCCGTCAAGCCTGTTTTAAGTAAGTTTGCCCAAGAGTCTTTCTTCCATAAACCACGATGCTCAGCCGTTGTTATTTGTGCCACCGACCTTTTGGCATCTGGAGAAGCCTGTGGTCATCAGATAAATGCATAGGGTCACCCAGGAAGCGGATTGTTCTGGAATACAGCTGTCACATGTTTTAAGAGACCCTGGGATGTAGTATTCTAGGGGCCTCTTTATGAACACATTAGTAATGAGCTATTGCGTTGGGCCTAGCCACCCCTCATTTTTGAAGCAATGATACACGTATGCGCTGCCTGTAGCAGCCGTGGCGGGTTATGACCTTCCTGTGACCTCCACAGTTGTCAAGGTCACAGGTACCGCTGCTTCTGATGGGGACCCTCACCCAGGTTCGTCCTGGGAGGAAAAGCTGAATTTCAGGGAGAGGGTGGTGAAAAGAACAGCCTCATCTTTCCCATCTGAGCTCACAGACCTGCCGGATTCTATCCACGGGCCCCAGGTTAGGAAACCCTTTACGTCAAACTTCCTTTGACCTGCAATAATGCTGCTTTAAATGGGGGTCTGATATCAGGGCGGCCGGGAAGCCCAGCATCTGTCGCTTGCTTTCAGTGAAAGAATATTAGTTACAGGGACATCGGGCTCATTGTGATACTCCGCCGGCTGCCGGCTGGAGACAGGCGCTGGCCTGAAGCTCTGGGCCTGAGGCCTGTGCTTCCTGCATTTAAAAAGGGCGATGAGCCCGGCCAGTGTGGCTCAGTGGTTGAGCGTCGACCCATGAACCAAGAGGTCTCTGGTTCGATTCCTGGTCAGGGCATAAGCCTGGGTTGCAGGCTCAATCCCCAGTAGGGGCATGCCGGAGGCAGCCAATGGATGTTTCTCTCTCTCTATTCCTCTCCCTTCCTCTCCCAAATAAATAAAAACATTATTTTTTTTAAAGGGGAGAGGTTAGCCTGCAGCAGAGCGGGGTCAGGACATGCGGGCTGGGGCTCCGCTGCTCTCTTGATAATAATGAAAACATGTGTGCAGAGTGGGGAGCAGGGAGCGCCCGCTTCCTCACAGGTGGGCCAGTGGAAGTCAGTGCTGAGACCCTTAAATCTCCAGGTCATCCTTCCCTTATTCGGGGAAGCCAAGCCCGCCCTGGAGTCAGACGGGTGTTCATTCTGGCTTCCCCGGCTACCAGCCAGGGGACTCTGGGTAGGTGACCGAGCCTCGGTCTCCTCACAGTAAAATGGGGTAAGAGCAACGCCTCTTCTTGGGGCGGGCGTGGGGATCCCGTGAGATCAGCCCGTGCACTTAGCACTTGCGGGTACACGGCAGGCGAGCTGGGAGGACGACCTGCTGGGCTGGGGGACCCCCGGCCATGCTTTCCCCCCGGAGGTCTCTGCTCACAGGTCTCCTGGAAGGGATACTGGCCGAGACCACCCCTCCCCAGACAGCCCCTAAGTCCCTGTGCATGAGCTACACCGGCCTCCTCCCAGGGCCCCCGGGGTCCAGGACAGAGGCTCCAGGGACCGCCAGTGCCCCTCCAGGAGTGACCGGAGAAATGCATTAGGCGCTCAGCCCTTCGGGGTTAGCCACCGTGAGGGAATTTACAGCAGCGATAACGGTGACTACGGGGTTCGGGGCGCCTCCAGCTCCAGCTCAATGCCCCGCGGAGGCCAGCCAGTCCTCTCGTCCCCGATGAGGAAGCGGGCCAGAGAGCCAGGCTCGGGGCGGCCAGCCAGGAAGCGTCGGTCTGACTCCTGACTCTTCTCACCTGGCGTGCTGCGCTGCCTCCTCCTGACGCGCTGGGGGAGCTCTCTTGGGACCAGCCCTGGGCCAGGGGCCAGGCCCGCGCCTGTCCTCGGAGGCTGGCTGTTCCTCCCGCTAAGCCGCTGCCTCTCTGCTTGCAGAACGCCGACGGGAAGCTGACGCTGCAGGAGTTCCAGGAGGGGTCCAAGGCCGACCCCTCCATCGTGCAGGCGCTGTCCCTCTACGATGGGCTGGTATAGTCCACGCCCAGAGCTGGGGTGAGTCAAGGGGGACCTGGGGCCTGCAGCGGGGGGAGGGAGGAATCCCAGCCACAGGACGCCGAGGGTTGGCAGAGAAGTACCTGCCCAACGTGGGGTCTGCCCGGTGCGGGCACAGCAGGTGGGGGCGGCCTCCGAGGCAGGGCCTTCAGATCAGCCAGAGGCCTCTGCTGCGGCGGACGGCTGTCCTCCTGGCTTCCTTCTCGTCCTCGCCTACGTCTGCTCTGCCTTCCCCGTGAGTCCCCATGTGGGCGGGGAGGGAGTGGATGACCCCCGAGGTCCTGTCCAGCCATGAACACTCGTACACGCCGTCTGGTGGACAGAGGCTGTGTGCGCGTGCTGGCTGTTCGTCTCAGGTGTACGGCATGGTGGGTGGACTCTTACATAACTCACGGAGATGTGCGAATCCTCTGTTTAGGAGGCCCATCCTGCCCCCCCAAGAAAAAGTCAGATGGTGTCATTAATTTATTTAACACTCTTTGTTGTTTCCTCACAGCTTTCTGTGAAAATATCTGTGTATATGTTTCCCGCGGCAACAATGAGTTCAGAACCATATGCTGTTCGCGTGTTTTTGTTTTTTTCTAATGGACAATTTATAGAAATCATTTATTTTTTTTCTTTTGGAGACTCAGCGCTAAGAAAAGAGATGTTTAAAATGTTTCACCCTCGTTGGCTTGACGTTCACATCCTGTTGTGCCCACAGGCTGTCCTTAACCTGATTTGTGTAGACACGTATCGTATCCTCACCAGCAACACGCCGACCGAGAAGGTGTAACTTTGTTTTCACGACGCGCTTTTCCGAGTGGCAAGATCCAGCTCCCGCTAGCTCGTCCCCGCCGCCCTCCTCTTTCCTGTGGCTCTTCCAGAGCCTCCCAGATAGTAATCACGTCCGTTTTGCATTCTATCATTTGTGCGATTGGTTTGCCTTCTCAGATTCCCGATGTATCCTAATTCCTGGACAAGTTACTGTTATAGAATTCACTATAGTATTCAGTGTTCTGCATCAGCAAATGTTGTTGGAGACCATCCTTTTTCATGGCTGCATAGCATTCCGTCAGAGAGCGGGGCCATCATTTAACCAGTCCCGTGGTGTGGGACCTTGGGCTGTTGAGAATTTTGGGGGTGGATTAAAGAAGTTCTCTATTATGGAAGCACTCATACCCAGTGGTAGAGAGAATAGTGTAACACCATGTCCCCAGCAGCCAGCTTCAGAGTCAGCAGCTCACAGCCGATCCTGCGCCCCCCCCCCGCCCCACACACACACACCCACACTGGGTATTTTGAAGCAAATTCAAGACATCATATTGTTTCATACATAAATAATTTCAAAATGTGTTCCAAAGAACCACTCTTTAAAAAAAAACACCCACAATACCCCAAATTCAAGATTAATTCCTAATATTGCCCGATCTTCAGTGGGTATTCCAGTTTCTTGTTGCCTCCCCAGTTTTTTTCACCTTGTTTATTGGAATCAGAATCTGAGTAGGGTCCACATGTTGCAGTTGGTTGAGCGGTCTCTTAAGTATATTCTAATCATTAAATTTTCCCCTTCCTTTTCTTCTTCTTCTTGCTGTTGGTCCAGAAACACCTTCTATAGAGGTTCCACGGTGTGGGGTTTGCGGGTTGCGCCCCGTGGTGGTGTGAACACCACCTTCTGCTCCCTGTTCTCCCTGGAAAGGGGCAGTCGGACCTGCAGGCTCGCTGCACATCAGTGCGACCCACTTCGGGGAGAACACCTCACGGGTGGGGTTGTGTGTGTCCACGAGGTGGCACGTGATGGCTGGCGTTGTCAGCACCATTCATTCATTCATTCCTTCATTCATTCCTTCATTCACAAGTGGTGCAAAATGATGTCACCCCAGCTGCCGTCCCTGCCTCGCGTGAGCTGCAGGCTTCCCTGTGGTCGCTATTTAGTTACCCCAAGTCCTAGGCTCGAACAGGAAAGGCAGGGTAGATACTTGATTCTCCCTCTTGACGAGTTTTCCAAGTTGGATTTCCAACAGCCTTCAGCGCTGACCAATGACTTTCCTATGTACATGTATATGCACGTAATCATGGCTTTCTGGATAAATGCATTCAGGGACTTCCATCACGTCTGTGGCTTTAGGCAGCAGGCACAGTGCCGCCCAGCATCAGGGCTCACATGTCCCTGCGGAAGGGGAGGAGCATGGCTGGGAAGTCAGCCGAGCCCCCGGGGGCTGGCAGGGGCCGTCGGGAGGCTGGGGGACACGGGCCTCTCTCGGGCGCTCTGACCTCCCTTGGGGTGGCTGCTCCTGTCCTCTGTCTCCAGTTGCCCTTGCCCCCAATGGCCACCCAAACCCGGGCCCTTCTGACTCGCCCAGGCCGCCTGCACACAGCTCCTGCCTGGCCCTGACCGCGTTTCAGATCCTCTCACACCGATCAGGAGAGGGGCCCCTTTGAGTCAGACACTGACACCTGTCCCAGGTGGGGGGCAGGGACGTGCGATGCAACACGGATGTGGAGCAGGTGATGGGAAGGGTGTGTGGGTGGTGCAGACAGTAACAGGCTGTTCCCCAGGCTGCCTTTTTTTTTTTTTTAATTGATTGAGGTAAAATTCACATGACATAAAATTAACCATTTTAAAGTGAACAATTCAGTGGCATAAAGTACAGTCACAGTGTTGTGCAAGCACCACCTCTATCTAGTTCTAAAATATTTGCATCACTCCAAAATAATGCCTCCCGTCGCGCACTCTCTCCCCACCCCCACCACCAAGCCCTTGGCAATCACTCACCTGCGGTCTGTGTACAGATCTGCCCGTGGGGGAAATTTTATATAAATGGACTCCCACATCATGTGGGCTGCTGTGTCTGGCTCCCGTCACTCAGCATGGCTTTTCTCAAGGTTCTCCCACGTTGCTAGGCCTCCTGACTTCACGCGGACCCTCTCGTCGGTTCTTCATTCCTTTTCCTGGCTGAGTGATGGTCCCCCGTGTGGATGGACCATGTGTTTATCCATCATCCCCTGATGGACACCTGGGTTGTTTCCACCTGTTGGCCATTGTGCATGATGCTGCTGTGAACATTGGGGGGCATGGACTTATTTGAGTCCCTATGTTCAATTTTTTTGGGTAGATGCCTAGGAGCGGAATTGCTGGGTCCTATGGGAACTCCAAGTTTAACTTTCGGAGGAAGCACCAAACTGTTCCACTGAAGCTGCACCTTTTATATTCCCAGCAGCGATGGACAAGGGTTCCAATTTCTCCACACCCTTGCCAACACTGCTTCTTTTCTGTTTTTTTATTCTTTTTTTTTATGATAAGTCATCCTAGTGGGTGCGACGTGGTGTGTCTCATTGTGGTTTCAATTTGCGTTTCCCCATCACTGATTCTCACCTTCTCATGTGCTTCTTAGCCATCCCACACCTTGTTCTTAATGGTTGCAAACTGGTTCATCCTATGGCTACGTCCTCCCTATCCAGCCAGTGCCCTGAGTGTGGACCCTGGGCTCGCTCCCTCCCTCCCTCCCTCCCTCCC